TTAGGCCATTATTCTTTTACTCAACGGTAATTAACCGTTCATCTAACTGACATAATTGACACTTTTCTGCCAAATGCATAACTAACGGGCATAATTGACACCTTGCTGCCAAATGCACAGTTAGGCCATTATTCTTTTACTCAACGGTATTTAACTGTTCATCTAACTGGCATAATTGACACCTTTCTGCCAAATGCACAGTTAGACCATTATTCTTTTACTCAACGGTATTTTACCGTTCATCTAACTGGCATAATTGACACCTTTCTGTCAAATGCACAGTTAGGCCTCAAAGGCACTTAGCCTTTCATCTAACTGGCATAAATGACACCTTTCTGTCAAATGTACAATTAGGCCTCAAAGGCACTTAGCCTTTCATCTAATTGGCATAAATGACACCTTTCTGTCAAATGCACAGTTAGGCCTCAAAGGCACTTAGCCTTTCATCTAACTGGCATAAATGACACCTTTCTGTCAAATGCACATTTAGGCCTCAAAGGCACTTAGCCTTTCATCTAACTGGCATTCTGTCAAATGCACAGTTAGGCCTCAAAGGCACTTAGCCTTTCATCTAACTGGCATAAATTACACCTTTCTGTCAAATGCACAGTTAGGCCTTAAAGGCACTTAACCTTTCATCTAACTGGCATAAATGACACCTTTCTGTCAAATGCACAGTTAGGCCTCAAAGACACTTAGCCTTTCATCTAACTGGCATAAATGATATTTTTCCGTCAAATGCACAGTTAGGCCTCAAAGACACTTAACTTTTCATCTAACTGGAATAAATGACACCTTTCTGTCAATTGTACAATTAGGCGTATGAATCTTTTATTTTAGATCAGTTTCTACTATAATAAACATTCATAATATAAATTATCCCTTTCAATCATTATATATTATATGGTTAAAACCTATAGTGCCCATGCAATAATCCCACTACCAATATGGAAATACACATTCTTATTATGAACTTCTAACAATTTCACATATATTTCCCATAGGAAATTTATACACTTGGTATGAATTTCTTATTTCGCACACATTGTGCCCATACGGAAATTCATACACTTAGTATGAATTTTTTAGTTTTGCACAAAAAGTGCCCATACAGAAATTCATACACTTAGTCTGAATTTCTTAAGTTTTCTGCACACTTAGTGCCATTTGGTAATCACCATACTTACATTAATAGATCATACAAGTATGACTACCGTAACATATACGTACATAATTAAATGTACTCACCTGGATTGCCTCGCTATTATATCAAAAATGCAAAGTTGATCACTCCGATACTTTTCCTTTGCCTTTAGTTTTGCTTGACTCGGGAGCTTGATTTCGATCTTTGAAGCTATGAAGGATAGAAAACCACATGAAGAAGAAGAAGAAGAGTAACCTAACTGTTTTCACTTTCCCTTTTTTCTTAAATCCCTAATATATATCTTAAATTCATTTTTCCCTCTTAAATTTATCCTCGTAACTCATCTATTGATACAATTTAGTTCAAAACACTATTCTAAATCATTTCCTCATCTATTACCATTTATTAAAATAAATCTTTAAATTTCAAATCTTTTCAATATAGTCATTGACCTGTTATTTGGGTATTACAATTATCCTACTTAGAAAAATTCATCCTCGAATTTAAAGACTTTATGCGCTTACCATAATACCTCAACCATATGAATCATTTTATTACGCATTTTCTGGCTTTCTCTAATCCAGATTTGTATTGATTCTTTTTCATAAATCAATTCTAATCGAATCTCTATATCTCTATAACCCATTTTCCATTCATGAATCAAGATTGATTGAAACAATTTAGTAAATACTTGATATTCAACTTTTCCTCTAATAGTGCGTCAGACATATAAAGTCTCCCACAATACTACGAACATTTGTCGAACCTGACCTCCAAAAGTCCTTAATTTCTTCATTTTTACTTATAACATTCTTATCCAGAAATTTTTCGTCTTTCCTTTGTAGTAAAATCAATGATCACTTCATACATCTTTAGAGGTTCTGAACATCTTTTCTGTCTCATGTTCACTCTCTTCAATTCCACAAGTAATTAAGGTTCGTGTGATTAGTACCACTCACTATATCGATAATGACGTTAAATCTTTTAAGGCAACTCGACTATTACCGACTCTAAATCATACAAAGATAATTCCTCTTGATTCATTGATACTAAATCGTATAAACATTTTTCAATACTTTAATAACCAACAACCTTGAATTCCACCACTCGATCTGGAGGTAACCCAAGATATTGATATAAAAAGACATCTCTAATTTCCCAATATTGTGAAATTATCAAACAATCCTACTTTTCTTATTTGAGTATCTATCGCCTTAACCAACCATCATTCTCTTTACAATCATTATCAATATCACTTTACGCAATGATCTTAACTCATCAATTTATAATTCCTTAAGATTCACCAATAACATAGCCCCTGTAATCTTTATTAATTGTCTACTATCTTTTCACTCACACTTATACCCTGACCCATTAAGGTTTACGGCTATCATTTTACTCAAGATTGGTTCTATAGGAATTCCTCTAGCTCTAGTCAACCTTGTACTAATGTATGAGTGCACAGATCAAGGGTCAACTAATACCAATACAATCTCATCAAAAGATGAAAAGTACCTATTAAAATTTTTGGATCATCCCGACCCCCATTGGTCGTAATATTCTAGATTTTGACGACTCCCTGAATCTCTTGTCGCTTCAATGATTCATCTCATCCACTTGATCTTCCACTTTCTCTGTTTCTATTAGAGGTTGCCACAGATCTTTCAGATTGCACTAAATTGTCCCCAGATTTCTTTGGACAATTTCGGGCAAAGTGACTGGTCTCACCACATTGAAAGAAAGCTTCACTAAGAAGTCTGCATACTCCCTGGTGCACTCTTCCACATGTCTGACATACAATTCTTTCCCCAATTGCTCTACCCGAGCTAGCAGTAATCGAATGGGACGATTTTATTTTCTGTGAAATTACAACAAAACCCTCTTTGTCTGTATCTCTCGAACTTGAGCCCTTGCCTATCTTAACATAATGGGGAGTTGAAGGCATTCCAACTCTTTTCCCAATCTGTACACTATGTTCCGCTACTAATGTCTCCTCTTGAGCTCTCTCGATATATTTGGCTCTGTTAATAACTTCTTGCAAATTAGGCAAACTCAAAACCAGCATCATTTCTTTTAGTTTTGGCCTCAACCTCTCAATAAACCAATCGCGTCGGGCCTTGTCATTTGGAACCACTTCCATAGCAAAACGACTCAACTTATTATATTCAGCCTCGTACTCGTGTACTAATCGATCACGTTATTTCAATTTTAGGAACTTTAACAGCATTGCTCATTTGAATTGTTTACCCACATACTTGTTCTTAAATTCTTCCAGGAAGAATTGCTAGGTCACTTGCTCCGGTGTTGCATACATCGTAGTATTTGACCACCATACTCGAGCGATCCTCTAAGTAAAGATACATCTCCACCCAAATTTTTTGGATCCAAACAATGAAGATTTTTTAGCATTATTATATCATCATTTAACCATAAGTCGGCCTCCATAGGACCTTCACCCTCTTCTCCCCAGAACTCTGGAGCTCCCAAGCTCTTCAGCTCTTTTGGGATCAATATTTTTCGGTGTTGGAGGAGAAGGGGGAGGCGGAGGAGGTTGAAAACGGGTCAACATAGCGTTGAGAGCTTGCATAAAAACTCCATACTATGGTACTGACATCCCTTGATGTGCAGGCGCATTAGCATTTTCAGATGGAACCGGTTGTTCAGTATTAGCTTCGTAACTTTCGCTATGAATCCCTTCTCTCATTTCTTGTTCCCCCACTCTACGCGAGTTAGAGGATTCTAATATCTAATAGAACATACATAGTAACAATATTACAGTTAGTAAGGAGTGCCATCAATTACACACTAATGACACCATATCAGTAGCCTTGACAATCTTAATGGCATGAAATTTCTTTTTCTTATTTCGATTAAACTCAGTTTCAATCGAGAATCGGCTAAACCTGTAGCTCTGATACCAATAAATGTAAAAGCCATCCCCGTATATCTTTCCATACACTAGATATGGATGTCACGTCACTTTAAAAATATTTTGGAAATTTGAAAAATCGTATATTTTTTTCAATTTTAACAACTTCAAAGTATGTATTCATATAAATAAAATACTAAAACTATCAATTTAAATACATTACAAAAATTTAATTTAGAGGAAAAAAGTGGACGTAGCGGGTTGTTTAGTTTTGCTCCAATCATGGGTGTGGTTTTGTATCCCATTTATGACGCCTATTACATCCGCTCATATGAAGTTTCCTCTTTTCGTAAGGTAAATTCCTATATTTAAAGTTTTGATATTTTATAATATTTATTTACATATTCTAAAAATGATAATAAATAATGTAATTTTTTTTAGATGGCGACACCGAATAACCGATACAAAGTTGTCGGGTGCAACCAAAGTATATATTCGGATGAGGACTGATATCACCGGTAGAAATGCGGTAAATTTTAATATTTTTTACATTAACTTTGAAATTTTAATATTAATTATTTAATTATACTAACATAATACTTTTGATATTTTAATTGGATGCCTTATTATGAGTCGGATATCCAACGGTGTTTACCGTCAATGTTCTTCGAAGGAGCGGAGACATGGTGTGCCGTAACACCATTGCTCCATTTTGCAATTATTGAGATCAATGCCTCCGATAGAGTTTTACGGTAATTGGGGTTCTACCAACCGATAGAAATGTCCATATTTAACATGGACGATTTGCATAAAATAGATGCGCGTGGGAAGCATAGTGAAGATTGGCCAAGGAAGCATGCTATATTCATACAACAATGGAAAAATAGACAATTACGATTTCCTAATCATTCCGAGGTATAACCTGATGATTTTGATTTCAATGTTTCTCCCTACCTCCAAAATTATGAAGAAAATGGGAAACCATACTTGACAACGCCGGTGGCATGGTCCGAGTGGGAAATAATGAAGGAAAAATATGGAACAAAATCATCATTCATCAACATTTTCATCTTATGGTGCATATCAACCATCGATGAAGAGTCGAGCACCGTGGGAATGAAGTGGGTGGGATCAAGTGCCACCTTCACAACAATTTTCCTCAGAACCAGAAGATATAGTTCCATGGGATCATCTTCTTCAATACAGACAATATCAGTTTGAGGCGATGACGTAAATGATGGCGTAAAATACCTTGAATACTCCATCATTTTCACTCGAAGATTAAATCAAAGTAGTGGAGTAATGTTCAGTACACTTGAACTGGAAGAAGATGAAATGATGAAGGTGGATGACCACAACGAAGTCGATGAGCACCACGTCATGAATATTCTACCACTCCTCAACATCGACAAGAATTGCGCAAATATAAGTAATAAATTTGTTTATTTAAGTTTTTGTACTCAATATTTAATTGTAAAAAAAATCATTGATAAGTAATAAATTTGTTTATTCGTTTTTCACCCTTAAAAATATTTAAAATTTGTCAATAATTTTAGTTTTAATTAAAAGAGTTTTGAAAAATATGTAAACAAATAAAATATCTTTAATTAAAAAATAACTTTTAATTAAAATAAAATGTAATTAAAGTCGTGCATGGAAGTTTGGTTGGAGTAAAGCATACCCTAAAAAATAGTAAATTAAATGTTATTAAGAAATAAAAAACATAAATGAAGCTAAATAATTAATGAAAAATGATATAAACTTAATCATGTTGATAATCTCCTTTTTGATCTTTTTCTGCTTAAACCTCTTCATTGCATTCGACGTAATATGACATATACAATAGGCAGGATATGCGTGCAAAGTGTCCATTTATTTTGGGTCTAGAAATTATCCTTAACAACCCAGGTGACCGATTTGAGATCATACAAACCCCATCTTAAGTGACAACATGGGAACACAAGTTGGAGAGAAAAAATTCCAAGTTTCCTCTGATTCATTTTTAAAAATGGCGAAGGCAATGAGGAAAATATTTTCGTCTCCATCTTGTGCAACGACTATCATCAAGACATGCCTGTAGAGCCCATACAAAAAAAGTGCCATTGACTTGAATCATTTGTTTACAAAATCTAAACCTTTTGATAGCTTACTTAAATTCCCAGAACAAGCCACCAAAAATTGTCTTCCCAGGTATAACGTCTCCCTCAAGCATGACCGTAGGACGAGTATAGTACCTAACAATGGTTCCAGTGATGAAAAATTCCATTGCTTGAAGCAGATGTGGTAGTTCATTATATGACTGATCCCAATCACCATACAACAAGGTCATTGCTTTCTGATTAACCATCCATGCCTTGTAATAAGTCGAAATATAACCAAATGTATTCCGAATGGTTGCCACTAACACAAAAACGGACACTCTTGGATTTTTCCACCAACAGCTTCACATAAGAGCATATGACATTCAAATCTAAATGTTTGTGATCTTGAGTCAAGGAGGTCATTGTACATGCATGCTGTGCATTGAACCTTGTAACATCCCACAACATCTTCCGTTATAGGTATGATACTTGTATCCTCCATTTATAACTAACATCATGTTGTATACACCATACGAAATAAGTTTTTTGATCCGACTCCGTGACATATAATTGAAGATGAGCTTTGATGCAGTACTCCTTGATTGCTAGTTGTGCCTTTTTTGTTTCAAACTGAGACCCAATGGCCAACTCAGATGACTGCTCGTCGAAAAAAACCCCAGTGGGCAGCATATAACTTTGACATATCATATATTTCAGGATTCCGTATAGCATCGTAGTTATGTCATGCATTGCAACTGTATGATAATACTGAGGCAAATCATGGTAAGGCATTTCATGTTGAGGGTATGTTTTGGTCCAAACATTTGAAGAATTCTGTAATCCTTTACATCTTGAAATAGCTGCCTCCCATACATAAGCTTCAATATCCACACATTGTCCCTTTGAAACAGCCTCAGAAACATCGGACTCATCAACTAATAGTGTGTCGTCTACCAACGGAACAATATCTTCATCATCTTCACTAAATTCAGCAAGACTTTCATTGAATCGTCTAACAAGGTTATTGTAGACACCCGTTTTGTCCGGGATATAATAATAATAATAATTATATTATTAATATTATTTATTTTTATTTTGTAGCCCAATTACAACAAATCTCGGAGCCCAAAAAATCAAGCCCAAGACCCGAATTCAGACCGATTGCAAGACCCGGATCCAAAATTGACTCGTTTAGATGCTGCCACCACCCATGCCTTTCATGTGAAGGCTACAACAAATTTGACACTAGCTCAAGCCAAGTCATTGCCGCCAATCGTGCCACCACAGAAGCATGTTGTACAAAAAAAAAATCAAACCAAAGTCAAGAAAGCACCTAACCCAAAAATCACGGGATGATTTCACCTAAACATGTTATTATCTCACCAAATGCGGAGAAAAGAAAGAGCAAGGACAAATGATTCGGTGGAGACTGGAAAGCTAAAAGGAGGGATAATTCATGAATAAGGAAGAGTCGAACAGGGGATCGGGTAGAGATTTAGAGGAGAAATTAACAAGCAGAACACGAACGAAAGGGGGTTCATATTTTCTCAAGCCTATTTTTCTCGAAAGCAGTATATTAAGGAGTTTTTCTCTTGGTATTTCTCGAAAGTAGTTTCTTATTTTTTTCAGTGTGGTGTATTTGTGCTTGTGTTATTTTGCAATTAAATGAAACAAAGCAATACAAAGAGAAATTCGGTCTATATGAGGTTGTTCTTGATTGTTATTTATATTAATATTTTTTCATTTGTTTTAACAAGTTCTAAACTAAAAATAAAAAAACGAAAAGTGAGGGCGTCGTTCGAGAAGAAGAAAAAGGAATTTCATCAACGAAGGAGGCTCTCTCGGCTCCCATTTTTCTCTCTTGAAATCAATGTAAAGAGACTATCTCTTCCATATTAAAAAAAAAAGGCAATATAAGATATAGAAACCATAACGTTTTTGAGGTATCTTCCATCTTTCTTTAATTTTCCAGTAGCTTCATGTGTGTGGGGTTTTCAAATTAAAAAACAAACAAAATAAGAGTGAGGAAGGTGTTAGTTTTTACCTTAGGGGATCTTGAGTCCTCACTGGAGTCATAGCTTCACATGAACCAAAACTAAAAGCACTTTTTCGGTTAGGCGTGTACATGGTGGTCTTAAGGTTAATCGTGAGAGTGAAAGGGAGAATGGCGAGGAAAGTCCTATGAGCTTTCCACTAGCGTTGTCGTGATCCCAAGGTTTAGATCGGAAGCAAACGATAGAAAAATGGGTGTTAGATGAAAATTGCGTATTAGTTTTGTTTTGGTTAGGATTGGGTAACTTACCCGGTCGAATGTTGTTTCAATGCGAAGTAAAGAATGTTAGAATTCTCGGTTTGAAAGGTGAGAGCCAACGTCATTCGTGAGACAGTTTGGATGATGGTCGGAGTAGTAGTTTTGGTTATTTGGTGAGAGACAACACCATTCGTAAGGAGGGCCTAGGCTTCTTTCGTTGTTGGGTTGCCGGTCGGCTGCGGTGATGTTTGAAGTAGAGAAGCGGCGGCCATGAAAAGAAGAGGAAGGGTGCTGTGCGAGGAAGAGATGGAGAAAGCTTGATGCGGCTGTGTGCATTTTCCTTAGGCGTGAAAATAGTTTAGGTTTAGGTTAGTTTAAGTTATATATTAAAAAGTTTGGTAAAATTATAGTTTAGGGTCACTAGCTTATTTTTAATTTACATGTTTAATTTCATATTTATTGAAATTTGGCCATCATTTTAGATATGCATATTTTTTAAAATTTATAGTTTGACACGTTATGTTTTTTATTTTTTTTATTTAAGTCACACTTACTCATTACATGTTAATATATATATATATATATATATATATATACATAGTACATGTAAATAATTTTGTATTAAGATGGTATATTGTTTGGTTTTTTTTAATATTTATTAAGTAGATAATTATTATTTTTAATTAATATTTGCATGTTAGCCTTATGTATATGACTCAACCTAATTACATAATTGGATTAAGGGTAATATCCTTTTAATTTAAAATTGTTTAAATGACTTCTCTTAACTCACTAGAGAGTCGCTTTAGACGATTTTAAATTAAAATTGTATCCCATCAGTGACACCCAAAATTTTGATTCATCACTTTAAAATTTGGGAGTGAAAGAAAAATAAATGTTTTGCTATTTAAATTTGTTGAGAAAAGGTTGTTAGAACTCACCTAAAGATCTGGTCTCAATATTTTAAATAATCAAATATTCTTTATCTTTCTAATGGCTTGGTAATTTTAATTTAATTATTTTGGTGTTGTTGAATGTTATATATTTTTTTTTTAAGGGATCATAAATCAAATTAAAGTCAAACTTGTAAATTTCATTGCAAAGACATTAATTAATCGAATAGGTACCGATTTAGGGCATTGTGGGGGTGCTAATCCTTCCTCACGCGTAACCAACTCCCGAACTCATTTTCTAGTAATGCAGACCTCAATTTATTGTTTTAATTAAAATTTATTTTTATTTAAAATGAAAAAACGTTTTTGGGTGCCCAATCACACCCTAATCAAAGATTGGTGACAACTCCCCGAACTATATGTTTTTTTAAGGAATTTCCAAATTTCGAAATGAGAGATTTTCTAAATCTCATTGTTTTTAATTAAAAATCAATCATAAAGAGAAATAATTAAAAAATGGTGTGGTTTTCAAATCTCACTCTTAAGAAAAAAATCGTTTCGATAGCTTGGCGACTCCGCTGGGGACTTTTTTTAAAGAGTCATGCCGATAGTCGATTAATTAGTTGTCTTTGTAAACGAAAGTTATAAGTTCGTTTTAATTTGGTTTTTGATCCCTAATTTGTTTTCAATTTTTGTTTACATTTTAATTTGTGATTTGGTTAGCAAATAAATAGTTGTACTAACGTGTGATCTACATGTTTCAGTTATCTGACCTTCACTTTAGTCTGTTGTTTTACTTGGATCGAGGCAAAGTATTATGAGTTTCCCCTCACTGTTGCTATAAACCTCCAATATTTAGAGCCTTCTAACTGTGCTCTGTCCCATTAGGTAGGGGTGAAAGCTACGCTTACGTGAGAAAAATTATTTTTCTCCACACGGGCTTTAGCTAGTAACCTCTGGGGTACATGCCTTATGTCTACGAGAAAACATTGAGTTTCCTCGCATGGATATAGGGAAATCTTTCCTCTCGAATTGAACTT